CTTGTCTCTGGCTTTCCTCTGGACTCTCTCTCTCTGCTCTCTCTTTCTGGTCTCACTTTGGGCAGTTGGCGCTGTTGGAAATGTGCTGTACAAATCTAACTGACATTGACATATTAGCATTATTGTTTGGGAACAGAAACAGAATGTGGCTCACGCACTGAAGGCTGTTTTTGTTTCACCTCCTTAGCCCTTGCATTCCCTCAATCAAATCAGAAGACTGACCAAGTGTGACATCATCATAGTGTTAGCCTTAATGCGAAACTAGCCGATTTTAACATAAGCTAGTTGGAAGATATTTTCTCATATAATTTGTTCCGGCGGTATTAGCTTTGCATCGTAACAGAGGCTACCAGAGGCACTGCAGCATGAATCCACATGGGCACAAGGAGGTATTCCCAAATACCATCAGTGTTTACTAAAACTGAGAGACAACCCATATATTTAATAGAAGGAGAATTTTCAGAATCAGAATTGTTGTTTTGCCAGTGGAAGTAACAGGAAGCAGGGCTGGATTGGGGCCAAAAAATGTTCTGGGCATTTTTGCCTCCTTGACGGCCTGGGCTTTTGCTTTACGGTTATTTAAATAGTATGCAGGAGCACATAATATAGAGGATCAGGATGTATAAAGTTTCAAGAATCAAAATAAAGTGCAATGGTCTACATTGAGAGTAATAAACATGTCTCTACTCAGAGTGAGGGAGATAGACAGAGTACCAACACCATTGTTTGTTACAGGGATGAGAATGGGACAAAGTCTGAAATGCATGAGATCAACCAATGGCTATCATTAAATCTATTTGATTTGCTCACAACGTTTTACTTTTGGGCACAACCAACATGAACTGTTAATGCAAGGGAACATTTTAGGTACCCCAGCTTTAATTTAGCAAATCACTTGCACCAAGTTCCGGCTGCGTGCTCGCCGCATTGTTGTCAAAACGGCTCACAGCTGCTGGACTTGGGAACCGCTGCCATAAGCGGCCGCAGCTGCCCCAGAACCATAGACTTTAACGCTGCAGCCACGGAGGATATGGAATCCTGTCCGAGTTTAAAAAGACAGCAAGTGCTCCGCGGTCACGCACACCCCTCGAACATTTCTCAACGGATTTAAACATTTCACACAAATGTTTTTATGTATGAGGCAGGTAGACAGGCCCAAATATGGGCAGTGGCCCTTCGGGCATTGCCCGGGACACCCAATAGCCAGTCCAGCCCTGACAGGAAGTCACAAACCAGAAATGTTCAAAATAGATAGAATCTTTCATTGGTTTTCTATAAATCCACACTTTTGTGCAACAAACTTTGCTCGCTCTTGTCTCGCTCTGCTCTCTTACTCTGATCTTTCTTTGGCTTCTCTCTGGTCTCGCTCTTTGAGACGTCTTGTAGACAAGGGACAGGCATCTTGTAGACCTGGGGCTCAGCCTACATATATTTTTTAAAACCCAATACATAGTTCCCACAGACCAATGAATGTCACATGACCTCCTCGGAGACGCCATCTTTGATGGCACGCTGCTGTGTTTGTGCATTCCATTAAACAGAAGAATGAGAATAAATGTAGATATTCAAACGCAAATTGTAAAAAAAGGGCAACTTTTGAGCAAATAATTGTATATTAATACAATGGCACCACAGTTTAACGTGCTACGGACATGTTTTACATATTTGATCAAATTATGCAGCAAAAATTAACAAGCAATGCAAACATTTCTCAAAAACTTTAGATTTAATACCAGTTGGAGCTCCATTTAATTATTTTAATTATATTAACAATTAATTTAATTAATGCTAATGCCACACGGACACTCTGGATTGCTGTTATTGTTTATTTCCGCGTTTTTGACCGTATGTTTTGGTGAATGGTGAGCAACTGATTTTTCCAGGCGTAAAGAGCAGTTTATTTTATGACACAGATCTTTTTACAGAAGCAATGCTGTTTGTGAACATTGTTTTAGCCCACCATAGAACTATTATTATCTATTTAATACATTTACGCGACACCGATCCTCCTCATAATAAAGTAATCTAAATAATGAAACTCTCAAGTTACCAGATATCAGCATACACAAGTTAGTACTGAGTAAATTACGTCTGTCAACACATTATAAGATACGATACGCACCTGACACAGTGCTCCGAGCATATTCTTGCGTGTTTTGAGGGAGTTTCTTGCCTGTTTATCTTCGCAAGCCATAACCTCCGTGGTTGTTCTGACAAAAGCTTAGTCTTCTCACATTCATGAAGTCTAATGATGGGTATACTGTAAAATCCAGGTTTAACAGAACCTCCGGCACGATTTGAACATCCATTGACCCAGCAGGAGATGACCATTTTCAACTTTATCACGACATTAACACGTTTCAGCTTCTTTTTCTATTGTTTTGCCCACAGAATGCCAACACAAATGGCGCCGGGTCGGCAAATCCCCGTATGTAGTGACGTCATGTGGGAACTATGTATTGATCGCTTATTGAAGTTTTGGCCCTGTCCCATCTGCCAGAGTGAAATCGCTTGTAAAGAAAGTGTGTGTGTGTGTGTGGGGCAGGAAAGCACTCCTCCAGATGAGCTTGAACCAGAAACGTGTGATTTACACGGGCCCTCTGGGTGACCCCTGACCACGCGGTGGCTGGGGTCAGGTCAGGTCAGGGTTGCCTGTCTCCAACCGGAGTTGCAGCTCATCCCCAAACATGGCACCCCCAAATGGAACGCACTAAACATCCAACAAAGCTGCGGGCCTTTTGATTTTTTACAGCCAGTTGTAAAGCATCACTTTGAGCCTTAGACAAGTTATTTATTAGTGCAATAACAAACAACTGTGTGTGTGTGCGTGTGTGTGTGTGTGTGTGTGTGTGTGTGTGTGTGTGTGTGTGTGTGTGTGTGTGTGTGTGTGTGTGCGTGTGTGTGTGTGTGCGTGCGTGCGTGCGTGCGTGCGTGCGTGCGTGTGTGTGTGCGTGCGTGCGTGCGTGTGTGTGTGTGTGTGTGTGTGTGTCAGTGCAATTACCTTTTTAGACAGGTAAAGTTACGGTGTTGTGTTCCACTTTATTGCCGTGGCTTTAAAATGTGGACCATCTGGATCAGTGTGGTTGTTTAATTTCGTTAGTTATCAATTTTACCCTCATCTGTAAATTATGACTTTAGCCTGTTTTACAGACGGTAAAACAACCGTGTTGCTCTCACCATCTTTGGTAACAACGCGATAACATGTTTCACCAATGGGAGCAGTAGAGCGCCCCTCATGTCAAAAAGACAAAAAGTGGACATCGACTGTCGGGTTGTCCAAAAAGACTAGGACTATTTCTTATTTGTCCGCGGAGGTGAATGAATCACTGGTGCGTGGTGTGAATGCAACAAATGGCTTTGCTGAAGGAATCTCATCCTAAACTACGAGACTCTGCAAAAAAGAGATAGATAATAGAAAATAGAGAATTGAGAAGACAGAAGATAAACATGTCTGGCCTTGAAGAAACAGCAGTCTGTTGGGTTGGTGCTGAGAACGAGAGGTTAGTGATGCCGCTGTACAGGGAAGCCACCTGATTGCTAACAACATAGCATTAGCATCGCAGCCGCACAGTGAAGAAGAGTTTGTCCAAACTTTCATTCAGGCTGCAGACTGTGTCCTGAGAAACAGCACGCTTTTACCAACATCATGTTGAGGCTTTTTATGTTGCCGTTGATAAGAGGCTGATGTTAGTGATGTTGCATATTCATTCATGGCGTTACTGAAGCTTTGACTATCACAGAGGAGGTGTTAGTGTTGGTGCCTGTGTTGGATAACCACAACAGCTGAGGACACTATCAGCGCTGTTGCTGGTGCCGCTGCTCCTTACCACACTGAAGAGGGTTCAGGTGCTGTGTTAAAGTGCTTTTTTCTATCTACTGTACCTTTGTGAGCATGTTTTCCCTGTAATGAACCTTAATTTAAAAAAAGCTGCACTCAAAGCTAACACACAAATATTAATATAAATATTGTGAAATGCCATTTACAACGTACTACTGTAAATACTTTATTTGCACTATGAAAAACTCACTGTTACATTTAAGTTAGTAACAGATTTACAGTTAAAACTGAATAAGTATTAGACAGTGTTTTAAAGGAAGTTTTGAATACATGCGTTTATGTGCACAAGAAGTTGAACTTTGTACTGTTTTTGGGTATTTTTGTGGAATACGAGTTGAGATCCAATTAGGTTGTATTTGCCCCCAGACCAAATTGAGTTTGACACCCCAGCTGTAGATAATTAATGAGACTCAGAGCAACAAATAAGTGGTTTATTGAAAGGAGAATTGGCTTTTCTGAATGCCCCAAAATAAGGAAACCAGATAAACCAGCTCATTGTAATATGTAAAAGAGAAATGGGATCGTCCTGAATCCCCAATGTGAGCTATTTGCATTTGTCCAGTTTTGCACCATCCGCTGCACGACATCTGTTCTCTGCAGATTTCACAAACACTAAAAGAACTAACAAGACAGAAAATAAGCTGTTCAGATGGGTAAGTGGAAGTTTTCCCCCAGACCAAAGTACCAAGAATATAGTTGTAAATATTGACCCTTATTTAACCTGGAAAGTTTTCAGAAACTAATTTTCAGACCCATGTCCCTCAAGCTAATGGCTGTATAAACCCATAACCTCACAGCTCTTGATCTTGCTTGATAAGAAAGAGCCAAAATACCATCTACAGTGTGTGGGAAATGTTTGACTTCTGTCATCATGAACAAAGGTGACACTGATATATTGAGTTGAACTTTTGTTATTGGTTTTTAAATCACATATTGCAATTCCCTGGATTTATTTTACACTCTGTCTCACAGTTGAAATGAGAAATCCCTTGCATTTTTAACATGCACAGGAGAAGAAGTTATGATAAACCTGTAAATGTATCTCTGACAAACACACAGGGTCAGACTAAAACACAGGGTCTGACTAACACACAGAGTCTAACTAAAACACAGGGTCAGTCAGTGTTACGGTCGGTGTTGTGGCCAGGGTCTTCACATCAGATTATGAATGGAGGTGACTTCCTGGTATTGGCATCAGGGCCTCAATCTTCAGCTGCAGCCGTACATCTGTCCTGTTCAGGCCCAGGATCTCTGTGAGCTGTGGAGTATAGGCAGACGATCGCACAAGTTACAGAAATATAGAATATTGCTGATGTTTCACACTGTTTTATAGTATTTTGTCCAGTGTTTAATGTCAGAAAGGGTTTACACAATAAAATCATTTCTAACCAAAAGTCATCTTGCTGACATGGAGTAAACAGGTGTTAATTACATTTGAATGCTGTGATAGCTGAGTTTAATCTAACTACTGTATGCTTCTATTGTTGGGAGAGGATATGATGCCAGGTCTGGGTAGCCACTGTGGATTTTCAAAGTTTGCAGAAATATCTATTTTGTGCAGCATATCCAGCAGGGCAAGTAGTGCATCTGTGTGTCTATTACTTTGAATGAAAAAGATTGGCTACAAGCGGATGATATTATCTACTGTCCATGCATTTGACCCATCCTTCGCTGCCACTGGGACAACCTGTCTGAGCAGCACCTGCAGGTCAGTTGTTGATGCACACCTTCTACACATTTATGCACAGTTGAGAACAACCTCTGTGACCATTGTTAAAAAGGGTCAGACATTGAGAGAAATGGAACATTACAGCGCCAGACAGCTCCCTGGGGAACCCCTCGGACCCCTACCTGCTGCTGCAGCTGCTGCAGGACTTCTGGTCTGCTCAGATCAGCGGCAGAGCTCAGCTTCTGCTTCAGGATGGTTTTTCTTGTCTTCCAGTCCGGACTGTAACAAATCGATAGCAGAGTCGAGCTGCAGGAATAATCGTCCCACAGGCCAACGTCCTTTTCGGCACCGCAGAATTCGATGCCGAAGACATTATCCGGCAACATAGGTCCCCAGTTACGGAAAGTGCTAGGGTTGCTATTGGACCAGGTGAAGGGGATCCGGTAGAGTCCGATCCACACTGTTGCTGCGTTCGGCAGCACAGTCCTGAGAGCAGCGCTAACCTCGGCGCTCTCGATGGAGGCCAGGTCAGTGTGGTGCAGCCGGCAGTGGGCTTGGGCCGCACTCCAAGTCATGTGCGTCGGGTTGTATGTGTACGTAGTGTTTTCAGCAACACCTGCAGAGGAACAAGTCCAGACATCCCAAATGAGTGAAAGCATTCATCCGTGTGTGTGACCCTGTGTGTGACCCTGTGTGTGTGTGCGTGACTATGTGTGACACATCAATGTGATGCATCCGTCCTGTAATAGTATGGTGTCACTGTACCATTATGACATCACACACCTTTAAAACAACAATATTGCCCATAAATTGCCCATTCCACTCATACTTGTTTAGTCATAAGCTACTATTTATCTGGGCTTCAGTGTTACAGGGAACCAAATCAGGTTTGAGTCATCGGATCTGTTGTGTGGAGTCCTTCAGGGCTCAGTCTTGGGCCCTGTGTTATTTTTGTTGTATGGGCTCACTTTGGGAAAGATTGTTGTGATGTTTCTTATCACATGTGTGCAGATGACAACCAGATTTAACGCACTTTTAACCCAACTGAGCTCTAGGCTGGATTCCTTAGTTCGTTGCCTAGTGGAAATAAAGCAGTGGTTAAGTGAGAACACTTTGCAGCTGAATATGGACAAGACTAAACACTAGTTATTTCCCCGGATGATTTAATTCCAGGGATTAAACAATACTTAGGTGATGTTGGCCAGTCTGTAAAACCGAGCTTCAGGGTGTTATTTTTTACATGGATTTGTAAGTAAGTAAGTAATGGGTGTTTATGTAGCACATTTTACAAACCAAGTCACTAGTTCAACACTGCAAACAGCTTACCAAAAATTGCGCTTTTTCAGCTGAGAAACATATCGAAAATTAAGAAAAAGGTGTCACAGAGCAACTTGGAGCTTATTATTGATGCATTTGTGTCTTCTTGTTTAGATTACTGTATTAGTTTGTTTTCATGTCTAAACAAGAAGTAGCTGTCCCATCTGCAGTTAGTGCAAAACTCTGCAGCTAGGGTTCCCACGCGCTCTAACAGGAGGACTGCTGATGTCCTTCCATAGATCCATGTGTCCTCTACAGGATACATATTAAAATATTGGTGCTGACGTTCAGAGCTCTGCATAATCAGGCTCCTACTTACATCAGCGATCTGATTCAGCCTTATGCTCCCACTCGGGCCCTGAGGTCTGTGGATCAGAACCTGTTGATGGTCCCACAAACGCACTTCCGGACCCAGGGAGACTGGTGTAACAGGCCATTTTATACCCCCTGGCCACTTTATACCCCGGGTATAAAATAGCCTAGGCCAGAATATAAAAGATTAAGAGTCCCGCAGTGGGGAAATACCCCATGGTATTGTCTGGCCTAGGCTATTTTAACCCCCCTCTTGTTGTATCTAATAATAATAAAATATAAATTATAAAAATAAAAATAAACTTCAAAATCATTTTAAATCATTTAGAAGTAGCTTGTTAATTACTCTGTAGCCCGAATTAGTGTGATTGCTTTTCACACTTTGTTTGTGAGGTGATGAGTCGAAGTATCAACTTACTTCTCTTAAGAAACATTTAGACATTTTGAGTAGATGCTTTTGTCGCTCTGTCCGAAGCAAATTTCTTCGAAACACTGAGTTAGAGCTTGTGTCAAAACAACAGGTCACGTGACAAACGGTCAGTGTCTCGGATTCTGCAGCCGCTGCTTCACTGTGTGAACCAACTGTGTCGGTGTCGAAGTGTTTCATTGGCTCAATGTGTTTCCTGACTTCTCATTGGTTCAGAGTGTTACATCTTGCTTCCTTGGTGTGACTGCTTTCAGTGGATAAGCACTAAAGCTATAGATAAATGATGCGTCAACTGTTGATCTGCGTATGGAGTGCAGTCCTTTTGTTTCTGTAAATTGTTTTTATATTGAAATATACTTGTATTCAATAAGGATTCCTTAAAGGCCCACTATAAAAAAATGGGCATATTGATGTTTATCTATGTTTTGCTGCAGTAGACCTTGAAATTGAAACCACATCACAATTGTTTTGGAGTTTTAATGACGGTAGAACAAGACTTTAGTATTGCTTTTCATAAGCTGCAATAACATTTGTCCACAAGATGTCAGTGTTACAAGCCAGACTGAGCGGTATGAGCTAGCTCAGAGGCTCCAACCCACGGGGCTTCGTCTGCCCATCACTGTACTTAGGGACTTGACGTCTGCAGAGCACTTAATCTGTTCTTCTTTATGTACTCAGTGTAATAGCAACAGGAGACAACAGAATCTGCCATATACCTCGAGAACAAGTCCGAGCACTTCAGTGCTGTGATTGGTGTTGAGTGATGAGACTCTAGTGTGGTACTGTACTGTACTGTACTGTACAGTACAGTACAGTACAGTACAGTACAGTACAGGAGTATTAGGACATTGTTAGGGTTTTATCAAGTAAATGCTATATGGTATATCAGCATTTAGATATTGTACAGTATTGCTTCATTGATTTCTTACAGTACTTTGTTTTATAGTATAGAATAGTTTTTTTCATAAATCATATCTTTTTCCTGAATGTATTTTGTATGGAATAAAGAAATTAATAAAAAATAACTTGTATTTATTGTTTTTATATTAAATGAAAGAGGGGGTTAATCTGGCCTATGGGGGGTTACAATAGCCTATGCCAGTTTATACCCAGGGGTATATTCTGGCCTAGACCATTTTATACCTGGTGTATAATCTGGCCTAGGCTACTTTATACCCGCGTATATTCCCGAGTTAAACTGGCCTGCTACACCGGTCCTTCCACGCCCTTGCTCCCAGTCTGTTGACTCATTCAAAGGTCAGGCAGCTACATCATTTTCTTGCGGCTGTTTTAAACCTGTCACTGAGTTGTCGTGGCCATTTTATTTTCATTTTTTGTACGCACATTTTAAATTGTATTTTAACTTATTGAACTGTGAAGTGCTTTGTGGCCTTGGTCTGTGAAAGGAACTGTAAAGATAAATCTTAATTACTTACTTACTATTGAAGATATTATTTCACATTCATACACATTAAATCTTAATGTATTTTTAATGGCCTAAAATAATGCATAATATTTACTTTGTTCACTGAGAATATTGCCAAACCAGCCTTAATAAAGCCAATGGTAAACAAAGTCTTACCAGAGAAGCAAACAGAAGGTCGTCCAAGCTCACATTCATAGTCATACCAGAACCCTAAATAGCTGAAGACGCAGAACTCTCCATTCATGTTATTCGGCTCGTGACTTGCCCACATGGAGAAGTTTCCCTGGCTGGTCTCCTCTGTGGCCGACCACCTCCAAGACGTGCTCTCGTTCCCCATGTGTTTCCAGGTCGATGGGTCCTCTCTGAGCCCGATCCAGGCCGCTCCCACCACACCAGGGGGTCTCTGGAGTCCATCCACGTCCTCCTGGCTCTCAAAGACGGCCAGGTCGGTGTAGTGCTCCCTGCAGTTCAGCTGAGCCTGGTCCCAAGTCAGTCGTTGGGTTTGGTAGAAGTAGCGCAGCAGAAGACAGCAGGGCAAAAATTGGGCTATGGAGGGAAACATAAAACTGTGGAATAATCCTAGTTCAGACATTCAAACTGCGGCTCTCTGTGTTTGTTCTGTGGCCCCCTGCCGTTAACCCAAAGTAATCTTTTACATTTACATTTGCTTTACGTGATTATCCACTCAGCCATTAGCACTCTCGCTTCTCAGCAAGAAGCTCCTGGGTTCAGTCGGAATAGGGTCTTTCTGAGTGGGGTTTGCACATTCTCCCCGTGCCTGTGTAGGTTTCCTCCGGGTGCTCCGGTTTCCCCTATCACTAAAAACATGCACACTATGTAAATCCTCCAGCGCTGGTAGTCCTGATAAAGACGAGCATTAACATCTGGAGATGGGTTCCTGGGCGCTGTTACTATGACGACCACTGCTCCTGACGTAAGCCTTAGTGGCATCAGGTTTGGTCAAATGCAGAGGATGAATTGACCTACGGGGATTAATAAAGTGCACCTTTACATTTTAGCTCAGTCAATGTGGATATGTTTTACCCCGTTCTAAAGCTCAGTACCTCTGGAATTCAGCCATTATATTAACACTCACACACATATATACACACACTTTATTCACATACACACATGCCCAAGGACACACGGCAGCAATCAACAAAGGGAGCTGGTCTCACACCTGTTGGTCAGGAGCAGGGTCAGAGACACAAACTGGACCAACCGTCTCTTGGCTAAAATATTATTCAATAAAAACATTTGGGGCGCCATGGTGGCACAGTGGTTAACCCTGGATTTGAGTTTCAGTTGGAACAAAGCCTTTTTATTGGAGTTTGTATGTTCTCTCTGCAGAGATGCAGAATAGGTAAATTCTCCATCTCCTGACCAAACTGACCATCAACATCTGGAGATGGAGCATTTAACTACGGTGATCACTGCTGCGCGGGTCAAAGGAGGAGAAAGTGGGACGAATCTCTTGTGGGACAAAGCTCTTGTTAGTGGTGAAAATATAAATCTTTGTATCTGTGGCTCTAATCATAAAAGCCATAAAACAGTTCCTTAAATATAAACAATTGTCACTTACCAATTAGTAAAATGATGATGCTATTCCCCATGTCTGGTGGCTTCCTGACTGGAATGTCCAAGTCTAAGAATAGATTTAGCAGTAAAATCTTCAATGTGAGCAGGTGGTCTGAAGATCTCACCTTCAACCATGGAATAGCTGCTGCAGTAAAGAGCCTCCTGATGAGCTGTATGCAAAGTGGAGCTGCAGCCCAGCTTTGAATACAGCATCTGGAGGCGAGCGTGTCAATGCCAGGACAAGTATCTATCACAAATGATGGATCTTAACCAGTGCTGTGCCAAAAACCAGAATGTTGCAATCTCAACAGTAAATAAACCGTGCATTTCAACAGAAAGATTGTGAAGAAACAGACACAGATTCTCTTTAGTTATCTTCAGTCCTGTGCCGCAGATTCTGCTTTTAAAATGATTTCCATCTCATTACAGTAAATACCTCTGCTCAGGAGGTTGAGTGATCACCAGCGTCTGTCTGTATGAAGACATGAGCGGGAGACTCAAGAGCTTCTTCAGCTGTCATTAATCCTTAAAATATTTGTTAACTCTAGGTATGGACCGATATTTGGCTGATTATCAGCCAACTGAGTGAACGTTCAGTCCTTTGTTCTCTGTGGTCTGCGCCAGGGAAACGACTTTCTAAATAAATTGAGCCTAGTCTGGAGTATTGGGACATAGGAGTTATATAGATCTGTACTGTATCTGTAAATGTGGAGAATGGTTCGTCTTCATGACTATTCTTCTGATGAGATGCAGAGTTTCTGTCCTAAAGTCCTCTCACATTAGTCCTGATCTCAGGTCCCTACACTTGCTTCCTGTGGCTTTGTGGTTCTGTTTTGCAGTCTGACGGGGCGAGCCTGTCCCTGAGCACGCTGTCCCACGCACCCTAAGTCATGTGTTGCGTGCACTAACGTGTCTTCAGGGTGCACACTTGGAAGCGTTGCAGGGTGTGATCTTGCTACATTTGTTTCTTCACTCGTGTGCTGGCCTCTCTGTGACATCTCCGTGGTGCGTTTTGGTAAACCAGGACATTTGTGAGCCAGTGGCTTACAAATCGAGTGATGGAGTCATGAGGACCACAACATGCATGGACATTTTTATTCTTCATTTGTAGATAGATAGATAGATAGATACTTTATTGATCACTGTAGGAGAAATGTAGGTGTCCGGTAACAGCAAAAAAATAATAATAAGCTAGCAATAGTAATAATCCGTAACAGCCCTTCAGGTCAGAGCAGCAGAGATGGAGTAGTCTCTGGGTGGAGCAGGATAGGTCAGAGCAGCAGAGATGGAGTAGTCTCTGGGTGGAGCAGGATAGGTCAGAGCAGCAGAGATGGAGTAGTCTCTGGGTGGAGCAGGATAGGTCAGAGCAGCAGAGATGGAGTTGTCTCTGGGTGGAGCAGGATAGGTCAGAGCAGCAGAGATGGAGTAGTCTCTGGGTGGGTAGCATTTTTCTAAAAGTTAGCATTCCTCCGGTGGATTTCACTGGAAGAACCATGGTTTGGACCATGAATCCTCTCCGCTCTGGTCTGGACCAGTCCAAAACCATGAACACAGTACTGCAGCAACATCTCAGGTAGAAAAAAATAAGAATAAAAATAAAAATTGTGAAGTACAAAACAACAACTGCTTCAGAGCTACTTTTTGCAGCCGTTTTCCAGCGCATTAAAAAATAAACTCACTTAATTAGATTACATTTGGGTAATCTTTATATTATTTTATATATATATATATATATATATATATATATATATATATATATATATAAATATTTTTCTTTTATTAATTATGATTGTTTTTTTAAATTATTATCGGTTCAAGACTGTTTGTCAGCAAGAGAGAAGATAGAGAGCGCGCCCCCGCGAGCGTGAGAGCAGAGTGAAAATAAATGGAAGAGCTGAACTGTTACTGTCATGCCGGATGGTTATTTTAGCAAGGAAAGCTACGAAATAAGAGCACTGTTTTTATTATTAGTCAGCCGCACACCCACAGCCTCAAGAACTGGTGAGCAGCAAGAATTGAATGTTACACAATCATAAACCTAATGAGAAAGTACCCATGTATTGTAGATATGGTGTAATATTAGGATGATTGGTAATGTAGGGTATAAAGTGGGAGGGGCAAGCAGAGGTTTTTAAGGTGTGCTGCCCCATGGCAGTTGTGGCTTGGTTACACAGAAGGTAACATTGACTGCGGGAGCGATAGTGAGAGTTGAGGAAAAAGAGGCTCATTGTAGATTTTTTTTTTTACATTTGCCCACTATTTTCATACTGAGAGCTCTGAATTAAACAGTCTAAAACTGCCTATATCGACCAAGCCATGAGTTTGTGAAAATGAACCCCAGGACAAAAGCTGAACAGAATCGTTTCCTCTATGATTATAATACTCCGTTACTTATCATTTTAAATGACTGAGTTTTCATGTGTACAAATTGCTTCGCTTTTGGATATTTATAAGGATAAGTCGAGAGGCAAAGGAGAATGGCTGCCAGAGGTACTGTTTCAGGTCTTAGGCCTGCGTGTGTAAAGTCTATGGAAATTCTTCACAGCCAATTTGTTTTTTAAAGGACATTGACAGAACACAACTCAAAGCGCTCTCTCTGATGCTTGTTATTGTCCTGTTGTTTTCCTAATATGATTTGGAGTTCCATGCAGAGCAAATTTGTCAGTGTTAATTAACACCCAGTGTGAATATTTTAACACCAGCAATGCATCCACACTCTATTGAGTTGAATTAACAGTTTTGAAAGTGTTAGATTGTTAACACCAAATTTTAGTTGAATCAACACCACACCAACACTATTCAACACTTTATGATGTTGCATTCACACTACACTAGCCGGGCCTTAGCCATCCGTACACTCCGGTCAATCATCATTTCCCTGCATGTAACGTCTGGGTCTGGTCCTTGTGTTTGCAATTACATGGCTAGGCTAAATGCTAATGTGTCACTCAGGGGCATACGTCACGATAAACTCCGATCCAATCGTTTAAATTGTTAACCTCCCACCTCTTAACAGAGCTAAATACACTGGTGTTAGCGTTAAGATGAAGTGTTAAAAGTTGAAAATGACTAAAACAGACACTATTAGGTTACCAGTAATGCCCTGCTAACTGGGCGACAGTGGCTCAGTTGGTAGAGCATTGGCCTTTGAGCCTAAAGGTTGTGGTTCGAGCCCACCTCAAGACTTTCTCCACCAACTTCCACCGATGTCTGCTGTCGTTGTGTCCTTGGGCAAGACACTTAACCTCTGGGAACACCAGCCACAGCGAGGCGGCTGTAAAGTGTTCGACTGCTGTTGTGTCCTTAGGCACAAGGGACCGATGGCACTTACTGGTTGCCTCGCTTATGTCAGTGTGCCCCAGGGCAGCAGTGGCTACAGTAGTATTTTAGCATTATTACTGGAATAAAAGACAAGTAGAATTTGTGAAAAAAATACCTTGACAATTCAATCCATGTTGACGAAACGCCAGTAAAGCACAATTTACATGTCCCCATAACATCAGATTAGCCACATAATCATTTATAGAGGCAACACGTAGTGCTCCACAGTCCATATCAAATCGGGCATAAATTATCAAATAAGTCATAAACATTAAATTGATTAAGACACATGGATCATTAAAAACATGAACGACAAAATCACACAATGAATTACACAGTCATCCACCTCATCAGAGCTGATTGCCTTGAGGTGATCATCGAAATGCATGTGTGGCATGACGAGAGTTTAGAGTACAGGTTAAAATGTAGCTATTGTCAACAACGCCACCTAGGGTAGGCCTAGGACCCTGCACAAGGCAGACACAAGTTCGTTTCCCTTTTTTAAAGTGATGGGGCAGAGACAAAACCAAACCTTATAACAAAAGTACAGCATTTATTTTGATTAAATATTTTTAAGTTAGAAGCATTTGGAATATAATGATAATTGTCAAAAGCAAATTAAAACGCACATGCAAAGAACAAAACACACAAAAAAACTAAACAATCCCAAACTCAATATTTAAAGTTAAAAATGTACAAAATTTACAGCTGGGTTTACAGGAGCTCCTCAGCCTAAAGGTGTGGTTACCAGTGTCCACAGCTGGAGCGACCCTGGCCTGTGAGGTAAATCCAGAGCAGCGGAGGCAGGAGGAGTTGCGCCGGTGGAAACGGCTCTTTGAATTCGTGTAGTGGCCTATTGGCAGTCTCCAAACTGCCGCGGGAGGTGCAGCTCGGTCCCGCTGAAGAGCGGGGAAGCAGGGGTTAGGACACTAAAGATTAGAATTTGGGTAGACATCAGCCAATAACGGCAACTCACCAATCAGAAAAGCACCGGTCCCTCAGACCCCAAACAGAGGCGCGCGCTCGACCTCCGCTGTGCGTAATTGCGCACCAACTAAAGGAAAATGAGCCTGTTAGGGTGACTGGGGACAGCCTAATGGGTCAAAGGGAAGATGGCACCATGCTTACCCACAAATAATGGCTGAGAAGCACAACGGGCTCACGCAGCCTTTCACTACAGATTGCCACACTGGAGGAGATAGCCACACTGGAGCAGGAGAAAAGCGCGTGAGTGCCAAATGCACCGCAAATGGAGGTGTGAGATATAATATGATGCGCACTCACCAGAAAGAGCAGAAGGCCTTTTCCGGGGCAGCACTCACACCACACAAGCCCAAATGCGTGCCAACAGGGCACCAAACCGCTGCATGAGGCTTCCCACCCTCCACGGACCCAAAGAGGCTGTCACTTCCCGCAGGAGAGGCAAAAGAGTGAAAGCCATCTGACTCGGGCCTCGTTGCCTGCTCTGAGGTGTGATGGCTTTGACGAGTGCCCAGCTCGAGGAGAGCGGCGTGCGGACCGCGACAGGGACGGGGAAAAGGGCGATGAGGCCGGGCGCCGCCCCAGTGTTCACCACCGTGCCGGGTGTCTCTTGCCGACGGAAGAAGCGCAGACACCGGGGAAAGCGAGGCGGGCTTCTCGTGCGGAGTCGCACCCCCAGGGTCCCACTGCCACCCATTTACCTTGCAAACATTCAGTCTCTCCCGAACAAGTCGGATGATCTCCTGAGCCGAATCCAGTACCAGCGCGAGGCTCGGGACTGCGCAGTGTACTGCCTCAGCGAGACGTGGCTGCATCCGAATATCCCGGACTCAGCTGTTCAGCCGCCGGAATTCGCCATTTTCCGCTCGGACAGAGAGAAGGAGAGCACGGGGAAATCGAAAGGTGGAGGTGTGTGTTTTTTAATTAACCAGCGCTGGTGCATGGACAGTTGTATTGTAAACAAAACATGCTCTGCTAACCTGGAGTGTCTGGTTTGAGATGCCGCCCGTTTTATCTTCCCTGAGAATTCTCAGTGATTTTCTTATGTGATGTATAAATTCATCCTCGGGCTGACTGTACAGCTGCACTGAATGACTTAAATGACATTTTGCAAAAACATGAGGCTGCTCACCCCAATGCTGTGATTATAGTTGGTGGTGATTTTAATAAATGTAACTTAAAGTCTGTATTACCGAACTTTCATCAGCATGTGAGTCAGCCTACCAGGGGAGCTCACATCCTGGATCACTGCTATAGTAACGTGAAGGCAGCTTACAGGTCCAGTCTCAGACCTGCTTTTGGGAAGTCTGATCACTCCTCTGCTTTGATGCCACAGACTGGTCTGTTTTTAACTCTGATAATGTTGATGAATTCTGTGAGGCTGTGACAGGATAGATACAATTTTGCATTGACTGTTGTGTCCCCTATAAAGTTATCAAAGAACACTCCAGCCAAAAACCTTGGATGAACACTGACGTCAAATTGAGAATTAATGAGCGGACACTGGCGTTTCAATCCGGTGATGAGGGTGCTTACAAGCTGTCCTGCTACGCTGTGGAACGCTCTATAAAAGCTGCTAAGCGTTGCTATGGGGACAGGTTAGAGGGCTTCTTTGGGGAAGAGGACCCTCGACGCATGTGGAAGGGGATCAGTCTTATCACGTCCTGGAAACCAAGTTCAGGGAAAATTGCTGCTGGCCAAACTTTGCCAAACGAGCTCAACGACTTTTGCTGCCGTTTCGAATCTGCTGATCCCCGAATGTGAGGGTGCCTTCACAGTGACTCAGGATGACGTCCGGCGGGTCTTGTCCAGGACCACAGCTCGGAAAGCCGCAGGCCCGGACTGCATTCCTCCCCGCGTCCTGAAACTGTGCTCCGAGCAACTTGCCCCTGTTTTAACGGACATCTTTAACTTGTCACTCAGGAGCTGTACGGTGCCGGTGAGCTTTAAAAGGTCCACCATTATTCCTGTTCCTAAGAAGTCTCCAGTGACATGTCTCAATGACTACCGCCCTGTGGCCCTCACGTCTGTTCTTATGAAAACTTTTGAGCGGCTTGTGCTGGACTTCATTAAGAGCCAGAACCCTGTGAGTGTTGACCCGCTCCAGTTTGCTACAGACAGAACAGGAGTGTGGAGGATGCCATCTCCTTTGCTCTGAACTCTGTCTACAGTCACTTGGACAATAGTAAATCTGTCGCGAGAATGCTGTTCATTGATTATAGCTCTGCTTTTAATTGTCTTGTCCCAAGAAAATTGGTTGAAAAACTAATGTCCCTTGGGCTGAATGTTGCCATGTGTAAATTGATTTTTAGCTTTTTAACTGACAGATCTCAGAGAGTAAAAATCAATGACTGTTTTTCTGATGTTGTTTCTGTGAGCACTGGTTCTCCTCAGGGATGTATCCTGAGTCCTTTGCTTTTTACTTTGTACACTCACGATTGTGTGTCCTCCTCTGACTCAAACTTGATCATCAAATATGCTGATGACACCACCATCATCGGTCTCATCAGTGACGATGATGAATCCTCTTATAGAGCAGAGATCGAACATGTTTTTCAGTGGAGTAAAGTAAACAATCTCCAGCTGAACACTGCAAAAACATGTGAACTTGTCTTTGACTTCAGTCGTAGCAGTTCTCACACTCCTGTTGTTATTGACAACTCCCAGGTGCAGATCGTAGAGGAGCAAGTTTCTGGGTTTAACTCTGTCTAACCTGAAATGGGTTAAAAACACTAACCGAGTTGTTAAGAAAGCTCGTCAGCGGCTCTTCTTTTTGCGGAAACTTAGAGAATTTTCCAATAACTCTAAGATTCTGCTTAACTTTTATGGCTGCACCATTGAGAGTTTACTTGTTGGTTCTGTGTCTGTGTGGTTTGGAAACATCACAGATAAAGAAAAGAGAGCTTTAAACAAGGTTCTCCGCTCTGCAAAGAGGACCGTGGGCTGTGAGCTTCCTGTTCTGGAGGTTCTTTATAAATCCAGACTTTTAAACAAAGCTCTTAAAATCATCAATGACTCTTCTGGACACCCTGGGAAAGCCATGTTCCAGCTTCTTCCCTCGGGCAGAAGATATCAGTCGCTGAGATGCAGGACATCTCGCTATGCTAACAGCTTCTTTCCACAGGCTGTTAGGTGCCTAAACAGAGCACTTTAATTCCTGCTTTTACCTTGTATCGTTTTTGTTGATCGGTGCCACGGTGTCAGCTGTTTTTTTATTCTTTTATTTCCAGTGTATGTGTATTTTATATTACATTGTATCGTGCTCTTTTTCTGTCGGTGCACACAGAGTACCTTTTTTGCAAATGTATTCCAATGTAGTTTTTATACTGCACATGGCTAATAAATGAATCTGAATCTGAACCACTATGTTCACGTATCAACTGACTAGTAGGCTGAGGGAGCCGGTGAACGTTCGGATGTTGGCCCGCTCCACGGCGGATGGTCCGACGCAATGTTTGCACACTGGAGTGGTCAGGGTCAACCAAAGGAGATTCTTCATGACCCGGTAGTGCAGCGGTGGAAGCCTGACCAAGACCCGGCCCAGACCCGGGGAGAAAACAAGGTGGTGCACTGGGAGCACCCACTGGCCTATCTGTTTCAGAAACCAGGAGCCACATATCACTACCTGAAGAATCATCAAATGGGGTCACTTCTGGTGCAAATGGGGAGTGGGGCACCAGAGGAGCCACCTCTGCAGGTTTCACAACTGGTTTCTTGCTCTACCCAGATCATTTACCGGGGCCACTGAGTAAACTACACCCTGCCCAGGTAGGACACGCACAACCTGATGGACCACTGGGCTCCAAAGATCTTGGATCTTGTTTCACCCTCTGGTACTATGGTCCCTCACATAGACATGCTGACCCACCACCAGTGGTGCGTCCCGCACATGTAGATCATGCCGCTCCTTCCTGCGGCTTGCAGCCACAAGAAGCCTCTCACGAGCACAACTGAAAGCAGCTCTCAGCCTCTCCTGGTGTTCTGCTACCCAGCCTTGCACATCGCCTGACCTTGGCTCGTCAATTCTCCCCAGGAGGAAGTCAATGGGAAGCCTTGGCTCTTGGCCAAACAGAAGATAGTATGGGGACTCTCCTGTGCCCTGATGAGGCGTTGTGTAGTAGCAGAAGAGCACCTGAGGAAGACAAGCAGCCCAGTTACTCTTCTGTTGCAATGGTAATGTGCGAAGAAGGTTATGAAGTGTGCAATTAAATTGCTCACATTGGCCATTGCCAGCCGGATATACGGCGTTGTTCGCAACTTTTCCACCCCATACAATGAGCAGAGCTGCCGAATCGAGGCCCTCTCGAAACTCCTCCCCTGGTCAGAATGTAAGCGACTTGGAACAACAAACTTATAGAATCACTCTAAAATCAACACATGGGCGACTGTAGGATCAGTTTGGTCTCGCGTAGGAACCGCTACAGTAAACTTACTGAACACATCAGTCATGACCATGACGTTCTCATATCCATTCCTCAAAGGTTCTAACAATGTGAAATCTATGGCAAGGATCTCATTGGGGCGGGAAGCTAATAGATGACCCATGTAACTGTGGGACCCCTGTCCAGTGTCCTTTGCCACCTGGCGCGGTTCACATTCCTGTACCCAATTCCATATGTCGTTGAACATTCCCGGCCAATAGCACCTTTGACGGACCAATTCTGCAGTCCTTTCCATGCCCTGATGGCCATGTTGTTGATGAAGGCTGCCCAAGGTTTCAGCCCTTAAAGAAACTGGCAGGAGAAGCTGCAAGATTTCCTCTCCCCCATCCGAACGGTAAGTCCTGCGGAAGAGAACTCCCTCTTGTTCCACCAGACGTTTATGCTGGCGCAGCAGGGCCAAGGCAGGCCTTGAAAGAAGACGCCACTCAGCAGGAGAGGGAATAGTTTGCAGCCGCAAATAGCCAAGAACCTCTCTTTACCAGGGGTCCTCCTCTTGTAATGACCTAAGGTGGGCGGCTGAGTGGCTTGGGAGAGCAGAGACCAGCGATTGGGTGGCTATGAGTTCCTAATTTTTGCTGCATTCCGGCGCCAGCTCCCGCTGTGCAGCTCGTCACTTTGGCTCTCTTCTCTTTCCGACCCTTTCTCTATTTATTTCTTCTAGCTTTTTTATTTGTATTTTTCGTAGGCAAGCGTTTATTTGTGCATTGTGCACACGGGAAGCCTAGCCTCGTGGACTTTCTCACTGGATTAACATGTCTTCTGCACTTTTTTCGGAGTCCTCCGCTCACAGAGCCACGAGACCAGCGTGTCCCATTGTTTACACACAGGAGCAGCTCCTCGGACTTAGAGACTCCGCTTTCCGGCACTCAGAGAAGCCGGTGATCCCCGTGGAGATCCGTAGGAGACGCAGGGGCTCCAGAGGAGGCCGAAAGAGGAAGAAGAGACCGTATCTCCCCTCCATCATTATGGGGAACGTACGGTCCATCTCTAATAAGACTGAGGAGCTGACCGCACTGGTCCGCCATCAAAGAGAATACAGACAATGTGGACTTATGTGTTTCTCTGAGACGTGGCTGTGTGGGAATATACCGGACTCTGTGGTCGCGCTGGAGGGATTTAAACTTGTGCGAGCGGACCGCTGCGCGGAGGGGAGTGGGAAGAGCAAAGGCGGGGGTGTCGCGGTCTACGTGCAGTGGTGCATCCCGACGCACGTGCATGAGGTTCAGCGTACATGCACACAGGACCTGGAGCTGCTCGCTGTGAGCATGAGACCCAGGTATCTGCCGCGGGAGTTTTCGAACACCGTGGTTATGTGTGTGTAAATCCCCCCGTCAGCAGACGTGGCCGCAGCATGTGAGGAGATGCACAGAACTGTGTCACAGATCCAGACCCGCAGTCCCCGCGCTCTGATTCTGATCAGCGGAGACTTTAACCACGCCTCCCTCTCCGCCACTCTCCCAACATTCAAACAGTATGTCACGTGCCCAACTCGTGGCAATAAGACTCTGGACCTACTGTATGTTAATGTACGGGACGCATACGCCTCCTCCCCCCTCCCCCCTCTCGGACGCTCTGATCACAGCCCGGTCCGTCTGTCTCCGGAATACACACCAGTGGTGAGAAGAAATCCAGCGCAGAAGAGGATTGTAAAAGTGTGGAGCGATGATGTGGATGAGATGCTGAGAGATTGTTTTCAAAACACTGATTGGGAAATGATCTGCAGCTCTCATGGTGAGGACATGGAGAGCCTGACACACTGCATTACTGACTATATTCTCTTCTGTGTGGATAACACTGTACCAACTAAGAAGGTGCGGTGTTTTTCTAACAACCACCCATGGGTGACCCCTGAGCTTAAAGCCCTCCTGAACCTCAAGAGAAGGGCTTTCATCTCAGGGGACAGGGAGGAGCAGAAGAGGATCCAGCACGAGCTCCAGTGGAGGATCAGAAGGGCCAAGAAGGACTATGGGAAAAAGCTGGAGCAGAAGCTGGCACAGGGAAACGCCCGCGACGTGTGGAGAGGCCTAAAGAACATCTCCGGCTTTGGACAGAGTGCCAGAGGAACAGCGGATGGAGACCAGCACCGGGCGGACGAATTTAACCAGCACTTCAACCGGTTTGATTCTCCCCCTCTCCATCTCCAGCGTCTGAAGCTGAGGAAATCCGCAGGACCGGACGGGATCAGTCCCAGGCTGTTGAGGACCTGTGCAGACCAGCTCTCTGGGGTCCTCAGCTACATGTACAACCTGAGCCTCAGCCTGGAGAAGGTCCCTGTCCTGTGGATGACCTTCTGTGTGATCCCGGTCCCTAAAACAGCGCACGCCAAGGAACCGGCTCACTACAGACCAGTCGCACTAACCTCCCACCTGATGAAGACCATGGAGCGGCTCATCCTCACCCATCTCCGCTCCGTGGTCAGCCCCACCCTGGACCCGCTGCAGTTCGCCTACAGGACCAACATCGGAGTAGAGGACACCGTCATCTACTTCCTGCAGCGGACGCTCTCCCACCTGGAGCCCGCCGGGAGCGCTGTGAGGGTCATGTTCTTCGACTTCTCCAGCGCTTTCAATACCATCAGACCGGCACTGCTGCGGGGGAAGATGGAGGACGCGGGAGTGGACAGTAGCCTCACTGCATGGACCATCAACTACCTCTCAGACCGACCACAGTACATGCGGCTGCGCAGCTGTGAGTCTGAGGTGGAAGTCTGCAACACTGGGGCCCCTCAGGGCACTGTCCTCTCACCGTTTCTCTTCACCATCTACACCTCAGACTTCACACACGACACACACAGCTGTCACCTGCAGAAGTTCTCCGACAACTCCGCCATCGTGGGCTGTGTGTCTGAGGGGAACGAACTGGAATATCGGTCGGTTATCAAGGACTTTGTCGACTGGTGTGAGCGCAACCACTTGTGCTTGAACACCAGTAAGACCAAGGAGATGATCATCGACTTCAGGAGAAAACCACTTTCCCACACGCTGCTGAACATCCAGGGGGAGGACATTGAGCTGGTGGACAGCTTCAAGTACCTGGGTGTTCACATTAACAATAAACTGGACTGGTCCCATAATACAAACGCCCTGCACAAGAAGGGCCAAAGTCGCCTCTTTCTTCTGAGGATGCTGAGGTCCTTCGGAGTGAGCAGGCCTCTGCTCAGGACTTTTTATGACTCTGTGGTAGCTTCTGCCATTTACTACGCTGCCGTGTGCTGGGCCCCGGGCAGCACAGAGCGGGACAGAAACAGACTGAACAAGCTGGTCAGGAGGGCCAGCTCCACTCTGGGCTGCTCCCTGGACTCTGTGGAGGAGGTGAGGGACAGGAGGCCCCTGGACTCTGTGGAGGAGGTGAGGGACAGGAGGGTGCTAGCCAAAGCCACCTCCATCATGAACAATACCTCAACCCACTGCACAGGACTGAGGAGGAGCTGAGGAGCTCCTTCAGTGGAAGACTGAGACACCCTCAGTGTAGGAAGGAGCGCTACCGCAGGGCCTTTATCCCCACTGCTGTCAGACTGTACAATTAGTCACTGTAAATGATCACTGTGTGAAAACCTGCTCTACTATTGACACTGTTTCTAATTGACACTTGTCACTTTTGTTGTACATAATTATTGTCACTTTTGTTGTACATATATCCTGCATGTAACATGTTTGCACATTTCCTCCTTTGCACAATCTGAGTGTCTCTATCCATGCCAAATGTGACATGTAAATTTCTCCTATGTGAGATAAATAAAGCACATCTTATCTTATCTTATCTTATGCAGCACCGGCCCATGCTGCAGCTCAAGGGGGGTTTGGGTACAAGGCATCAATTGAGCCATGGTCTCCGAGCCTGACGGGTGCTGCCTGGATAGAGCATCCGCGTTCTTGTTGCTTCAACCCGAACGGTACCTTATTTCAAAGTCAAAGGCAGCAAGCTGAGTGGCCCATCGATGCTCTGTCGCCCCCAACTTTACGGTTTGGAGATGGCTTAGCGGATTATTGTCAGTATACACTGTGCACCTGTGACCTAATAAATATTTGCAAAACTTCTCAGTCATTGCCCACTTGAG